CACCTTACCCCTACAACTACGGATGCATCCGTATGCCAGCTGCACCTTTTTTTAAACCACATCTTCCAAACTAGAAAAAACTATCGGAAAAGCCTCTACTTCCCTTGTTTTCTCCATTATCAAACACTAGCGTAGAATGTTCTTTCCCTGCTCTCTCTTATGCACTATGAAACCCCATGTCTTCTTCTTGTGAATAGATTCAAATTTCGTATACCCTGTACTGGATGGACGTGGATTTTTATTTCAATAAAAAATTATCTTTCCCTCTCGAATTAGAGCTGGTCAATCCTTTATTGAATTTTTTTTTTTTGTGCCCTTTTTGTAAAGTTAGATTAAAATTCCTTTTATCTAAATCCTCAATTCCAAATTACATGAGATTCATCATAGCCTTTCATTATCCAAAATAGTATTAAGCTTTCAAAATCGTTGTGCAAATTTCTCTCTTAAACTGACACTTTAGAGTTTACTGTACAGAATTTTCCCGAGCGAATCACGAGGGGCAAAGTCCTTGAACGAACACTTTTTAGTTTACTGTGGCGAATTTAGACTCTTAAATCCATACATATATCATAAAAATTCTCCCAAATGTATATATTTTATGCCCACACAAATTTTTTTTGTCAGTTTTTTTTCTCCCATAATGCCATTGCTTTGAACCTTCAATGTCTAAATAAATGAAGAAAAAATATCACATTATCCCTTATTTTTTACTTCTATGTCTCATTAGATTCAAAACTTAAAAATATTATTTATAAGCAAAATGTCTCAATATTTTCTATCACACAACCTACTAGACTCCTTTGATCATGAATTTTTTACCCAAAAAACACTAAAATAACACCCTCTCCAAAAATTTTCTTTTCCGTTAACATTAATCCCTTTAAGCACTTTCTCTCTCTCGAATCACCATTTCTTTCTCTCTAAAATCCAAAGTTACATAGAAGTTCCCCTCTCTACATCGTCTCTCTCTCTAAAAATTATGTTGTCCCTTTTGCATCCCAATATATTACAAACTCTCTAAAAATACCCACTTATCTAAAGCACTGATTTTCTCGCTCAACCGCTCTTTGTTTCCAGCCACCAAAGCTCTCTCTCGTGCCTACCTTAGGGCGCAACTTCTAACAACAAACCAAGTACCCTCTCTTCCTTTCTTTGTATCTCTCTCTACCAGCTCATCTCTCTCTTATGCTCTATCCTGTTGATTTTTGCAGATGATGGGCTCCTTTTGGTGGAATATTGATGCCAGATACAGGTTTATTGTAGGGTTTTTCTCAATTTACAAGATATCTAATAGAAGTTCTCGTTACTTTGTTCGCAAATTTTCAGTGAGTGCTTTGAACTCTTGGGTTTTCGTGATTTGGCCTTTGTCTTGTAATTGGAAATTTTGAATTTGAAATCAAGTTCAGTATCAAATGGGAAAAGAGATCATTCACGCTTGTTACTCGAGCAGCAGAGTGTAACCATTAATGGCTGCATTAAAAGATTAAATGCACAATGAAAACAAATTCCAGGAATGAGGAGATGGCATAAATTACTGGGGACTAGCATGCATATTTGCAAAGGTTACCTTCTATTGAGTTGGATCCCCGATTTAAATGGGTCACAAGTGTAGTGTTGATTTCCTTTGCGGTTCAAAGTTCAAAGTTTTGTGCAATGACTAAGTTTCCAAGGAATGACACTGCCTTTTTTGTGGCCATTGGACTCTATGTTTAGATGTATACTCAAGACTATGATATAAAATAAGAAAAGATAATTGGGGTGTAAAAAGGGCAAGATAATTTAGAGAGAGAGAACGAGAGGAGAGAGAGATTATGTAGAGAGGATAACTTCTATGTAACTTTAGATTTTAGAGAGAGAGATAGAGTATTGAGAGAAGAAGACGGTGATTTGAGAGAGAGAGAGAAAGATGATGCTTCAAGAGATTAACATTAACGGAAGAGAAAAAATTTGGAGAGGATATCATTTTCGTGTTTTTTTTGGTAAAAAATTCATAGTTAGAAAAATCAAGTGGGTTATAAGATGGAAAAGATGGAAATATTTTATTTATAAATAATATTTTCAATAATTGAATCTCATGAGATATAGAAATCAAAAATAAAAAATACGAAGATATTTTCCTATAAATAAACATCCTTGGCTTCAAACCTTCCACTTACATGCTTCCACTTCTAAGGTCCAAAGTATAAGTGCACTTCTAACCTTTCAATATACAAAATCAATGCAACCTTTACTATTGATCGTTATATAAACATGCAAATCATTTTTATAATTTATCTTAGAGGCGTTTGATGTATGGATTCAAATGGATAATTTGGGTAAGCATGACCACTTAATGGTTTGGACCCGCATGGTATCCCTAAACTTCTTAAATTGTTTTGTATTAAAAAAGAAGCTTATTGACTTGGACCGTTGAAAGTCCGTGCTCTCATTTCAATTCTTCCAGGTCCAAGATACAAGTAGTTTGCTCATTTCAGATCTCTTTGGAGGTCTAAAAATGAAGGCATTTTAGAGAAAAATAAAAAGGACAAAAAAACTGAGAAAAATAGAAAGGATGAAAAAAATACGACCGTAAATTATGAATTTTTTTTAAAATATCTACTTAATAGACATGAGCATAAAGTTCTCTTTATTGTTTTCTATTTGGATTAGTAGTGTTGAGATCTTGACGGTGGTGCTAAACATGGGGGTCTGTCTACAATAAGAAATTCATTTTTTCATGTCTCTGAATCTTGAGGTCAAGAAAATTGATTTGAGGATTTTTCAGCATAGGAACAACTTTCTTTAGCGTCTTTTTTAGATGCACCTTACCCGTACAGTATAAAGCCGGTACCTTATATAAACTTCGAGTGTGGTTTCTATAATGTTGCAACCTTAAACAATCCAATTAAGGCGCACCTTCAAAATTCATCATAACGTGTAATTTTAGTGTAAACACTATTAAGATTATCTGAAAATCTATTTTCATATTTAATTATAAAATTTTAAACTCCAAAAATGATCAAAATCAAGTAGATCTATAAACATATGAAAATCTTGAAAATGGACGGTCTAGCTAATGTTTTGCAAGATGTACTATTTCCGGTACTCAAATTTTATTTTATTTTTCATATTCATACATCTCGATATCAAGATGATCAATTAGAGGGTTTTTCAAAATTAAAACAACATTTTATGATGGATTTTTTAGGTGCATCTTTAATTCTACATTTTGAGGTTGCAACCTTATATAAACTTTTTCCTTATAAGATATAAGAAAGGGATTTAAAAAAGGAAAAGGTTTATATAAGGTTGCAATCTTAAAATGGAGAATTACATATGCACCTCAAAAATCTATCGGAAAAGATTGTTTTAATGTTGAGAGATCCTCTGATTGATCATCTCGACATCGAGATGTATGAATGTGTAAAAAAAAAAAAAGATTTTGAGTCTACAAAAATAGTGCATATTGCAACATATTATCTA